ACAATGGAAACAAATTTTATCTCCAATACCAGTAAAATCTATCCATTTAATTGACAATTTTCATGTAAAATAAAGCCAAACGGAGATCAAAAAATACTTTTATTTCAACATTTTTCACATAAAAAATTATCCCAATAGAACACAATAATTTACAATTCTCAGAAAAATAATTTCTAAACAATTTAATTTCCTGAAATTCGTTTTTAATTTCATTTTTGTAATCAAACATATCATTAGTTTCTAACGTGGAACAAGTGCAATTTCAATGAAATAAATTATAGTTATCATTTATGGATTATCAGTCATCAATTTCTATCCATTCAAGTGACGAAATTAGAACAGGGCCATAGTGTTATCAAATTGAAAAAAAATAAAAATTGAAGTATAGTTATGATTAACACTAGATTGAAATTATAAGCTCTTGTATGAAAGTGATATTTTGAAGAATGTGTAGTTAAAAAATATAGAAAAATTATGAAAATAATTTTTTTAAAGAATGTAATTAAAAATGAGCTTGTAATTTTTTTTTTTAAAAAAAAGAGCTACTTGTACATCGAGTGCTATCCACCCGAGTGTCTACCTCCCTCACATGAAGAAGAATCCACTTCAGATAAATCATATTTTATTCGAAGCAGATTCTCTTTCAACCGTGCTATAGAGCTCGAGTTTAAATCCCGAGTTTCAATTCAAGGTCGAGGTGGAAACACCTCGACCATTGATCTTCTGCACTTGGGGGGCCCGTTGTCAAAATCGAGGGCAGAGGCTCTGCCACCTCTACCCTTGGAACGGAAATCTCGGGTTCTTTTTTCCGATTCTCCTTTATGTAAAGGGTATGGACACCTAGGTAAATACCTTAACATACACGTAGTATCATCCAAGTTAACCGTGTGACACGAAAAACAACCTATAGCCTACCAGCTGCAAGTTCAGGTAAGAAAGCAGAATAAAAATCGTCATTTGTCGTCAAAATAAAGTGACTTTATGTGCAAACTATATAACACCAACATGTAACTTTATAAAAATTAAAAATTCCTTCATTAAAATCCCAGAATTCAGACACAAATTCCTAGAATTCAGACACAAAATTCTTTGTCGCTGACCAAAGTATGTCCCAAGAAAGCGTGTGTAAATGCTGTAGAAATGGATGCTTTTAGGTTAACCCCCCCGCTATCGACTCGTAAGCAAATCCCTTCCTCGTTGTCAAACCAAATAAAAAAGCATTCGCCTCGAAGCACATCGGAAAAATAAGTAAAAAGCCCAAAATCACTTTTGTTGAGAAAAAAGCCAGGTTATTTACGGAAAAGTGGCCCATCTGTATATTCAGCTCACCAAATCAAAACCGCTGTACAAATTCATGCAGGCCAAGAAACACACTACATATTAAATAACCATTCGATCATGCATGCCAAGAAACACACTACACATTAAATAACCATTCGATAAAATACTACTACTCGATTCCTCTCCATTCCGACATCATGACTACTCTAAGCACAACTACCAATTTCACTTCATCTTCTTCTTCGTTTTCCTCATCTTTCAGAGACTTTCTAGTCCGAGGTCTCATATATTTGCCAGAGATTAAAATGGTCGAGATTTTTCTAGCCATTTTTGTTTTCTTGATTATACATAGTTTAAGGCAGAGGAAGCGTCAAGGCCTTCCGAATTGGCCCTTTGTCGGTATGTTACCCTCACTAATTTTTGGCCTTCGAGGTGACATGTACGAGTGGGTATCCAATGTCTTATGTCGACAAAATGGGACTTTTACCTTCAGAGGACCCTGGTTTACGAATCTCTACTGTGTTGTAACATCAGATCCTCGAAATCTAGAGTACCTTCTCAAGACTAATTTCTCAAATTTCCCCAAGGGAGGATATTTTCGCAACACTGTTCGGGATCTTCTTGGTGATGGTATATTCAATGCAGATGATAAGATTTGGCAAACACAGAGAAAAACAGCCAGTCTAGAATTTCATTCAGCAAAATTCAGGCAAATGACAACTGAATCTTTGCTGGAACTCGTCCATGCCCGGCTCCTGCCTGTTTTGGAAGATGCAATGAACCAATCAATCCCCATAGATTTACAAGATATTCTCTTGAGGTTAACATTTGATAATGTTTGCATGATCGCATTTGGCGTCGATCCAGGGTGTCTCCGCCCTGGCCTGCCGGAAATCCCTTTCGCCAGGGCGTTCGAGTCCGCGACAGAAGCAACGATATTGCGCTTCGTCATTCCAACTGTGATATGGAAAACCATGAGATTTTTCAACCTGGGAACTGAAAGAAAACTCATGAAGTCAATTGAGGGAGTAGACGATTTTGCTCAAGAAGTAATTCGTTCAAGAAAGAAAGAACTTTCCTTGGAATCGTCAGTTGATAATAAACAAAGAACAGATCTTTTAACAGTGTTTATGGGACTCAAAGATGAACAAGAACAGCCATTTTCGGACAAGTTTTTACGTGATATTTGTGTAAACTTCATTCTTGCTGGAAGAGACACTTCTTCAGTTGCATTAAGCTGGTTTTTCTGGCTGCTGAATCAAAACCCAGAAGTAGAACAAAAAATTCTTTCTGAAATTTGTGGGATAATTAATGAAAGAGAAGATAACAAAGAAAAGGGGAATGATTTTGTTTTGAAACCAGAAGAGGTGAAGAAGATGGAGTATCTTCAGGCAGCTCTTTCGGAGGCTCTGAGGCTGTACCCTTCAGTACCAGTTGACCATAAAGAGGTAAGAAATTACATTATAAAAACAAGAAATGTTAAGTAAAAAATTTATTTTAAAACTTGAGGTTCCATCTTAAAACATGGACCTTTGTTTGCACAAATTAATCTTGATATTTATTTGTTCGTTTTTAATCTTAATTGGATTGAATTGCTAGTAGAATCTTAATATGCTTCGATACCATATTAAGACTTGAAGTTTCATTTTAAAAGTTCGTCCTTATTAAAAGGAGTAATCTGAACCTTTATATGTTTGTCTATATTTCAGTATTTAACAATGTGAGATTTATCTCTTAACACTTTAATCGACCAATACTAGTTTTTTCTTGTAACCTCTCCTATTTTCGCTCAATCTAGCTATGTGCACAGGAAACAAGAACATTGAAAAATACTTTGTCTTGTAGGTGCTTGAAGATGATAAATTTCCTGATGGAACAGTGGTAAAGAAGGGAACAAAAGTTGTGTATGCAATCTATGCAATGGGGAGAATGGAGGAAATTTGGGGCAAAGATTGTAGAGAATTCAAGCCGGAGAGATGGCTAAACAACGGCCACTTCATGAGTGAATCTGCCTACAAATTTACGGCGTTTAATGGCGGCCCTCGGCTGTGTTTGGGCAAAGATTTTGCTTATTACCAGATGAAATTCGCCGCTGCCTCCATCCTTTATCGCTACAGGGCGGTGGTGGTGGAAAACCACCCAGTGATGCCAAAGATGGCATTAACAATGTACATGAAGCATGGGCTCAAGGTCAAGCTTCTAAGGCGTGACCAATCAGAGATTCAGACTATTCTTAATTCCATGAAAAATTATTGAAGTTTGGTGTGTCGTTGGCTTTATTTGATTTTATGTACTATTTTATTTTGGTTTGTAAGGTTGAAAATATATTGCGCATATATGTATTGCTTAGGTGAAATTAGAGTTGAAACAAAGAAGATCTTGACTGCACGGTTAATTGTGGGGTAAATTTTCAATATTTACTAACTTGAAATAATCTCGTTACGTGCTTGACATGATGAATTGAACGAGACTAAAGGGAAAAAAAAGAAGTAAAATTATGTTCATCAATTTAAATAAGTTCGTCCAATACAACATTCTCAATAAGTGATAGTGGGTATTACCGCACACCCCTAGTCACAACTGCAATCGTAGCACTCCAACAATCAAGCAAATACTATGATTAGTAGAAATCACATAAATCATGCCTATGTTTTCCATTTACAGGTTATTTCCATCACAGTATTAATTTACAATGTACAGCATATAGTTTCACCTATAAATGTATGCACAAATATTGTAAAATATATGAAGAGGATTATTATAATTTTTACATCCTTCCTTCATCAATACCTCTGTTCATCAAACTTTATTATGGTATCAGAGCCTTTCTTTCACTGTAGCCTCTTCTAGCTTCTGTAAACGCCCAGAACAACAACCATCATGTCTGACTCCACTCCTTCACAATTGATCAATGACCTCGCATCCCCATATTTCTTAACTCCCGCTGATAACCCTGGAGCCATATTAGTACCTGATCTCCTTACTGGAGAAAACTATCATGCCTGAAACACTCGATCCGTATGGCTCTCAATGCTAAAAACAAGCTTGCCTTTGTTGATGGTACTCTAAAGAAACCATCAGACACACAAATTGCAATACTGTGGAATCGTTGCAGCAACATGGTTCTCTCTTGGCTCTTAAACTCTATTGACAAACCTCTTCGACAGAGTTTGATTTATTGCACACAACCTTCACATATTTTTGTTGATCTGGATAACCGCTTTTCCCAAAGCAATCAGCCCCGCCTCTATCGTCTTCAACATGATCTAGTTAATCTCAAGTAGAACACCATGTCAGTCACCACATATTACAACACCATCAAAGGTTTATGGATGAACTCACCGCCCTAACTGAGCCCAACCCTTGTAATTGTGATGGTCGTAAGAGGTTGGAGGAAGCAGCCAACATCGAACGGTTATTCCAATTTCTCATGGGACTCAATGACTCCTTCTCCAACATCCGAAGCCAAATCCTAGCCATGGAGCCACTTCCCACTGTCTCCAAACTATATACAACCATACACCAAGAAGAAACCCAACACCTCTTGCAAATCCCTTTGCTACCCAACCCCGACACCACCGCCATGGCTGTCACACGCACGTACCCTTCAATCAATCATGGGTCTCGTGCTCGCGATGGAAAGAAGTATACCAAATGTGGAAGGGACGGACATTTGGAGTCCTTTTGTTTCGAAATCATTGGGTACCCCGCTCACTGGAACACCAATAAGCCGAAACAGCCGTCCCTGCGATCAACCTCTATGAGAAATCGACAAAATGATTTGGGCAGTGACCGGCCTCCCATAGCAAACATGGTGTCCAGTAGCTCAATTTTCTCTACTTCGAGTGCAATCCCTGGCCTATCCAGTGAGCACTACCAAAAATTGATGGAACTATTGAAGCCCAGCACCAACGACTTCCCCGCATTCTCTGGTATTTCTCCCTCAACGTCCTCTTTTGCCCCAGGCCCTTGGATAATAGATAGTGGGGCTTCAGCCCATATATCTTGTATGTCTAATTTGCCCAAGGCCACACATATTTGGGTATATAATCTCTCACTTTACTAATAGGCTCCACAGCCCAAGTCACACATATGGGTCACATTCTTGTTTCTCCTCAATTATGTCTTTACAATGTTCTTTTCGTTCCTGATTTTAATTATAACTTAATCTCAATTAGTCAACTCACTAAATCTTCTAATTGTGTTACCATCTTTTCCCCCTCTATTTGTTTGTTTCAAGACCGACACATGAGGAAGCTGATTAGGATGGGTGAAGAACCTGGTGGCCTCTACCATCTTAAACCGCTTAATCAAGCAGCATTCCAAATCACAGCAAACCCAACAGTCACACTAGATCTCTGGCATCTTCGTTTAGGTCATCCTTCAAATTCTTGCATTCCAACAATTCTATGTGATTCGAATAAAATTGAAAATTGTGATAGTTGTATTCGAGGCAAACATACACGCCTCCCCTTCAAATTGGTTGAAAATAAAAGTACTTTTGTCTTTAATAGGATTTATTGTGATATTTGGGGCGGATATTCTACACCCTCTACAACTGGTGCTTACTATTTTCTTACAATTGTGGACAATTTTTCACTCGTTACTTGGGTGTATCTCATGCGTTTTAAAATTGATGCATTTAATTGTCTGACCATGTTCATTAAAATGATCTACACACTGTTTAATTGTCCTATCAAACATATTTGGTCGGATAATGGTCAAGAATTTCTATCTCATCGTATACAAGAATTCTTCCTAAACCATGGCATCATTCATGAAAGCACTTGTGTTGAAACACCCCAGCAAAATGATGTAGCTGAACAAAAGCATCGTCACCTATTAAATGTGGCTTGATGTCTTCGCTTTCATGCACATTTACCTATTTCCTTTTGGGTGGATGCATACTTACTGCTACTTATTTAATTAACCGCCTACCAACCCCCTTTCTTAATGGCAAAACACCTTATGACCTTCTTTTCAACAAGCCTCCCAAATATGATCATCTTCATGTTTTTGGATGTCTTTGTTATGCACACACTTTAAGTGTTTATCGAGATAAGTTCTTACCTCGTAGCACACCATGCATATTCATAGGCTACTCTTAAACTCCACACACCTATCTTGTCTATGACTTGCAATCCAAAAAGATATTCCTATCTCATGATGTCCACTTTATAGAATCTAACTTTCCATTTGCTACTGTGCAACCTTTAGATGCTTCATTACCACGCACTTTGTCAGACACCACACAGTCCCTCGATATAACTTATACTACCTTACCTTTAACCCATGATACACATGAGACTCAAGCAAATGATGTCAGATCATCTTCCCAAGCATCACCCTCACCAGACATTGAACTATCTATTCCAAATGATGATGAACCTACCATCTCCCCAGAACCTGTAATCGTTCTACCTCCATCCCCTAGACCTCGACGCACAGTCACTCGTCCCACATATCTTCAGGATTATATTTGATCATATATACCTTCAGAGGGACCAGGTTCATCATCTCATTCCCAGTCTTTCTCAAGTACGGTTCATTCTTTGCCTAATTTTCTTTCTTATCTTTTTTTTAGTCCAAAACATTTTGCTTTCCTCCCTTCTGTCTCCAAAAATGTTCAAGACCTTGTCCTCTACTCTCAAGCTATACTTGAGCCTCATTGGCAACAGGCTATGGCTTCTGAGATTCAAGCCCTTGAAGCCAATCACATATGGACCCTTGAGCATCTTCTCCCTGGTAAGAAAGCCATTGGTTGCAAATGAGTTTATAAAACAAAATTGCGTGCAGATGGTGCCATTGAACGTCATAAAGCTTGTTTAATTGCCAAGGGTTTCACTCAGGTAGAGGGCTTTGATTATACTGACACTTTTGCTCCTGTAGCTAAACTTGTTACTGTTCATTGTCTTCTTACTATAGCTGCAGCTAAACATTGGATTCTTCAACAATTAGATGTTCACAATGCTTTCCTTCACGGTGATCTTGATGAGGAAGTATACATGCGACCACCACCAGGATATTATCGTCAGGGAGAGACACACGTATGCCATCTCCACAAATCCTTATATGGTCTCAAACAAGCCTCACATCAATGGTATTCAAAATTATCTCATGTTCTTATCCTTACAGGTTTTTGTCAATCTGCAGCTGATCATAGTCTTTTCTCCAAGATCGAGGGTACAACATTTATTATCGTTCTTGTCTATGTTGATGATATCCTAGTTACTGGTAATGACATCTCTGGCATCAATTCTATCAAACGGCATCTTACACAGACTTTCAAAATCAAAGACCTTGGTGATCTCAAGTATTTCCTAGGGATTGAAGTTGCTCTATCTTCTAAAGGCATCTTTATCAATCAGAGGAAATATACTTTGGACATTCTTTCTGATTCTGGTTAGCTCAGCTCTCGCCCGGCTTATTTTCCCATGGAACAACATTACAAACTTAATGATTCGGATAGTGAACTTTTGGATGATCCTAGCTTATATCGACGATTGATTGGTCGTTTGATCTATTTAACTATCTCTCGTCCAGATATAACCTTTGTTGTCAACATTATGAGTTAATTCATGCACGCTCCTCGCAAGCCTCATCTTCATGCTGCTCATCGCTTGCTCCGCTATTTGAAGACTACTCCTGGTTATGGCCTCTTCTTCTCATCCAACTGTAGTTTTCAGATATTTGCCTTCTGTGACTCCGATTGGGCAAGTTGTCCACCCACACGACGTTCCACAACTGGTTTCATCATCAAATTGGGTGATAGCCCATCTCTTGGTGCACTAAGAAACAAAGTACTGTCTCTCGCTCTTCTGCTGAAGCTGAATTTCGTGCTATGACTACTACAACTTGTTTGGCTTCGTTTCCTTCTACAAGAACTTACTGTGCCCCATCAGCAACCTGTTCTACTTCACTGTGATAATCAGGCTGCCGTTCACATTGCTCGCAATCCGATTTTCCTCGAACGAACCAAACACATTGAATTAGATTGTCACCTTGTTCATGAGAAAATTAAATCCGATTTTCTTACTACTTCCTATGTTTCGAGCTCTCAACAAGAAGCTGATATTCTTACTAAACCCTTAGGACGTGAATTATTTGTCTTCTTTCGCTCCAAGTTGGACATTACGGATCTCCATACTCCAACTTGAGGGGGAGTATTACAGCACGCCCTTAGTCACAGCAGCAATCACAGAACTCCAACAATCAAGCAAATACTATGATTAGTAGAAATCACATAAATCATGCCTATGTTTTCCATTTATAGATTATTTCCATCACAGTATTCATTTACCATGTATAGCATATAGTTTCACCTATAAATGTATGCACAAATATTATAAAATATATGAAGAGGATTATTATAATTTTTACATCATTCCTTCATCAATACCTATATTCATCAAACTTTATTAGTGTGCATAGTTCAATGGTGCAAAGGGCAAGAGTGAGATTATCTCACACCTTACTGGCAGTCGCAGTGTAGGGGTTTGATTCCTGAGACATGGAATTGGACTCATTGTAGGCGCAGTGTACAGGCAGCTCTTGTTTCCTAGTCTGCTTGAGCACATCCCGCGATTTACCTCCCTCACAAAACTCTAAGGGTGGGGCGGTGGGGGCCCTCAAGGTTGGGGTTCAACCTTTTTTTATTTTTATATTGTTATTTATTTATTTATTTATTTTAGTTTATTATGTGAATCGAACTAATTCGTACAATTGAAATATTTAAACTAAGTGAGCTGAGCAGGGGCATTAAAAGCCCGAGAAACTGAAAATAGTTGCAAATTAACAGCAATAAATGGTGTCAATTGAATAGTATTATTAGGACTCATTAAAAGCTGATTACGTGGCAAGTTAGGCCGGGAATCAAGGGTTCTCGATAGAGTAACTTGGTCATGGGTTTTCACAAATGTTCTTCCTAAGCCCCGAGTTGACTTTGAAGGTATAAGTTCCCTTGGTCATGGATGAGAGTGCATACCATTTGTTCAAGACCACATAGTACATAATGTGTTGTTCAATCCCACTCCTTCTGCCAATGTGTCTCATGGATCAAATTCCAACGTGGAATCTTTTTAAAATGTAACTTCTACGTCGTCCATTTTGGTCACTAGCATGATTTCTAGTCAACCCCGTCATCTCTTTCACATCAAGTGCTTCGATTGTGACTCGGACTCCTTATTGTTCAGGACACTCATATTTTATGCCCTCGTTTGAGCCTAATTTTGGGGGGAAACAATGTATTTTTGAATAGTAAAGTGATAAAAAATATGTGGTTAAAAAATAAGGAAAATTTTTGAATTTACGTATAATATTATTTTATTAAAGATTGTGTATTTGAAACGATGTCAAAATATTATTTAAGAATGTATTCTTTTTCAAAAAACGAGCCTCAAACAATTATTCCATATTTGTTTCTTAAAAATCTCAACTACAAAATAGTACAAGTATCCTTAGTAGTTAAACGACAATAAATGTTTTACATAAGACGAAACAAAAAGATAAATAATTATTTTAAAACGAAATTTCCTTGCGAGAAGGCCCCATCACAAGTACCAACCCCATTTTGATTGCGTGTACCCAAATTAATCATTTAAAAAAAATAAAAAATAGACACGATATGACCCACTTGATTAAACTTAGTTTATAAATCAAAATCTTAGAACACCAGTCAAATTTGATGTTTGGAGCATCTTCGATACAATAATATGAATTGTTATACATATGACGGGCAAAATGAATATAAAAGTATTTTCAATGGAAATGTGAATTGCAGTAATTGTAGGTCAAATATAAAAAAGAAGATGTAGCAAATGAAGATAAATCATAAAATTTAAGTGGACGATGTCTATCACATCTTCCATAGGTGGAGACAAGCTAGACATCTTTCACCGTGTAAGTATTTTGGAATAATGTGACATTTTTTTATTGCAATCTAGTGACTAGAAATGCTCTTAGGAAGCCAGAAAAGAACAAGGGCGATTGTTCGTAGGGTCATACATTGAGTACTTTTTGTGCAAATATCTCCCAAATAAATTAATATGTTCTCTTTTTTAAGAGTAATTAAATAGAAATGATAAACATTTCCATATCTGTCACACAATAATAAGATCATGAACAATAAAATTCTACATAAACAAAAAGACTAAAGACCATACCCAAATCACACTAACAAAATGTCAAAAAGTTGACGAATTTACTTACATTGATTTGATCTCTCGAGAAATCCTTGTAACACAACTTTCTTATTATGCTCCTTTACATTTGATTCATCAAACTCCTTGGATGAACCTTTTTTCGTGTTGAATTCATTTCTTTGTTGTGCTCGAAAACTAGAAATGCAATAAAACCAAATGGCCGCGCAAAGAATGGCACATAATTTGCCCCAAAGTAACATAATTCCAAGTATTACCATTAGAACTGATATCCCAATGAGTGACCCAAATTTGGCATGATTTTCAATTGACTCACGACCGTAAATTCCCTGTTCAGGCATTGATTTTGACAGCTTCTTCCTTGTTGATCGGCTTGTATTGTTCCTAATCGTCTCATTTTCTGCACCCAAAGTTTTAGTCTTTTTAAGGATGATGTGCTCACCGCCGTTGTCCGTCGTGGCCTGAAGTAACAATGACAACTTCCCATTAAATTTTGTTAAGTCAAAACTCAAGGCCCATTTGTCGAGCTTTTTGAAAAGCCAAAAGTTAATTTTGAAATTAAAAAATTATTTTTCAGTTTGAATATTTGTGAAAAGTACTTTGTTAGAAGAGTTTTTTCAATAAGTTGTCACAAGTAATTTTTTCATAAAGCTTTTATACATAAAGTAGAAGCAGAAATAAAAATAAATGTCTTGCCAAACAGATCCTAACTCCATCTAGAGATGAAAATTGGATATATATATACACGCACACACTTATACCTCAGTAGATTTGTGTAGGCGAATTTGATCAGGTTCTGCCGCCATAACCATATTCAGATTATTTCCGCTGCCACCGGCGGTGGCCGGAAGCTGATCATTTATAGCATACGAATTCTTATCTTCCTTAGGAACATGAATTTTCTTGCTTGACCTCAACTTTGGTGCAAAGTTGGAGCTGTTCATTGGAACAGTTTTAGCAGATGATTTTTTCATTCTTGTAAACCAGTACGGCCGGAAAATTCTTTGGCCACCATATTTGTCCTTTTCACCGTCGCCGCCGGCAGAGATCTTTTTCTCATCATCCTTAACTGAAAATCCAAAACAACCCAGAAAGCAACTGCTTCTATGCTTCCTATTACTGGTTTTCGTAATTATATGATGCGACATGGAAGAGATGACAAAAACTCGCCGGCATCAAGAATGATATGGCTGCTGGTTTCTTGATTTCTTTCTCAATGGTCGAACTCATGGCCACTCATTCTGGTTGAAAATGTAAACCATAATGTCATACATGTTGAAATTGTGTTAAATGGTTTATATCATTGTCATTACTAATATAAATTTGGTGTAATTTTCTTCTTCTTTCCTTAATACAATAGAATAGTTTGAGGATGGCTGACTTGGACTTGGGGGCAGCTCAATGTCATTTTACCTCCTCCACGTTTTCAACAACTCCTAATTTTCCATTCTTATATAATATAATTTTTATAGTAGAATCGACTATTCTGACGGCCTTATTTGATGGAAATTAAAATCAAATTTTTAGCAGATTTTGATAAAATTTAATGAAATATCTGGTTATAAATTTGTGAATCCTATGAAAGTAGTTAAAATTAATCGTTGATTTTGAATTTGATAAAAATTTAGATTTAATCCCTACCGAGAATGATATGATTTTTTGACAACATTAAATGGACTATAAATACTTGTTAAATATTATTGAGTTCAACATATATACACATTCTTTATAGTCCATTTAACATGGTAAATGTATATTGAGTCCATACTTGACACACTAACACTATTTACAGCTTGTTCGAGTCAGAGATTGTTAATTAACTGCATAGATTTACTTCTTATTGAAGTTCTAATAACAGTTGACTAGTTTGGATAATCGCGAGCCCACTGTTTAGTGAAAAACAATTTTGGATTCTACTTTTGTGGTATACTAGCCATCGTGCCATGCAGGGGCAGACCCATTAAGGGCCCAGGGGAAGCAGTTGCCCCCATTGAAATTTCAAATATCTTGAGAAAAATGTTAAGACAAATGTTGGGCATCTGGTCCAGTGGTTATTATTGCTTCAAATGTAGGAACTAGGAAGTTTCGATTTCGATTCTCAAAATGTTCTTTTTGTCATTCTTTTTGTGTTTTCATTTTGGCTCTTTTATTCTTTTGCTTTCACAGTTTATTTATTTATTTTGTTTCGCCCCCACTGAAAAACAATCTTGGGTCCGCCCCTGGTGCCATGCGCATTATTTTTAAAATTATTGTTTTTATTATTGAAACATTACTTAACATTGATTTTTTCTTCTAAGAATTTAAAATATTTATTAACCAACTGTGGCAGCTTTTCTAATTCATTCATGGCCATCACATCAAATTATAAAAATGGAAGTTTGCATGTTTGGTTTACTATAGTTAAATAAGAAAAGAAAATAATGCTCATAAAATATAATTTTACAATACATTTGCAGTCTCGATCTTCATGATATTGGTCATTCTAATTATTCTCCTATCGAATACAAGAAAAACTTTACTTCACTGTTTCTTTAGTCTCAACACTTGACAACTTACTTTTCTTTAGCTTTTTAAATCTTTACAACCTTTTTAGCAATGGCAAATTCAGGACCAAAGTTCAGTTAGGGCGAATCTTGACCGTGGACCATTTACACGACTAAAATTTTTCAATTCTAATATTTGTCTTTTTATCTCTTTCCCCTTCTATTTGCCTTTTTACATAATGCAAAGCACAAATAACCAAATTCAACTAAAGAGTGTTTCCCACACGGATTAGCAGCACAAATGGTCCATGATGAAGGGGGCCTTGAGAGACAACAGAAGGAAGAACTGCAACATAAATATCATGGTTTGCAAGACTTCTCTATTGACAAAATTCAGAACCCCGAAAAGAGTTGGTTTTCCTATCTTTCTAGAGGTAAGAACATTACAATAACATTTCGCATTAGTTAACATCCACATTCAAGTCATTCAATTGAATCCCAATAATAATAATAATAATAATGACTATGTATTATCAATTGTATGAACTTTTTGTAGACAATCTGTTCAGTCCATCACTACATCTACTCTAAGACCATACAGTTGATCCATAAATTAATAACTGCTAGTAACCATTTGTCAAGATTTTATAGAACTCAGCATAAACACGATCCTAGGATTTAGTAACAGTAACACACATTACCCATGCACAATATAAAATGCAACAAACACGAACCCAAAGTTCACCGACACAATGGAGAAAGTAATAAATCCTGCCCAATCAAAAGTGCATACGTATCATTTAAGTACACGATAACACCTCTCAGTAACCAAAAATTGAATGAACCAGTTGGAGACTGAAGTCTTAGTAAAAATGGATTGTTTTAATTATGTTAGGTGTAAGGGAGATTTCTAGTATAAAATAGGATATACAACTAATAAGCATCCTACACGTGTTATGGTGATAAGCAATAAAGTTTCTCCCAACTACCACAAAGAAAAATGAACACTAACAACCAAACACATGCAAAAACACAATGGAGGTTCATACCTCCATAATCCTTATTCTAGACATCCAAGTAGGAATCGGGAAGCGCCCATCTAACTCTGGGCAGTTCTATATCATAAGTTGTTAGATAATCAATAAGTAGATTTCAGAAACTCCAAATGACCAAACAACCAAACAGGAAAAGAACAATTACCCTTCTTATATTTTCTTCTCTCACAGACAAATCAGTCTACAGTCTCACTTAGTTCGATTGTTCGTTGCCCGTTGGTTTGCAATCCCAGCCTCACTCGTCGGGAAGAACAAGCGTTTGCAAATTACAAATGAAATCTATTTTTTCAATTGGATTTTCAACTAACCGTGGGGTTCATATTTGGGATTTGGACCTCATTTTATTTTTTTAAAAAAAGAGGCCCAAAACTTAAACAAGCCCAAAACATCAAAGCAATTTTCAATCTTCCTCTGTTTTTCTTTTTCCATCGACTGCCTCTGTAAATTCCACCCAGGGGGCCAACAACCATTGCAAACTCCGGTGGAGCTAGCACGCCCGAAGAGCCCCTCGTCGAATGTTGGCTCCGCTATTGCTTCTTTACAATTTCTGCTCTTCAACTAAGAATGCATGAATTATAACGATAAAAAAAGAATGCATGAATTATTATAGAAAATATAAACTTAAAGAAATAAAAGGAGAGGTAAATAGTAGTAAACATCTACCACCTTTCACTTCTTCTGTAACCTCATTTTCAACATTTTTTCTTACAATTACGTCCCCAACTTTTGATAATTAGCGAGATTCATCCAAATTGATGGTTTTAATTTATTAATCCGTTAGTATGTAAGTAATTTTACTAGAATATTTGAAAATTCAAAGGGTAAAAATATTATTTTTTATATTATTTATCAATTTTTTTTAAAAAAATACAAAATTCAGAATTAAAAAAAAAGATTTAATTAAAAGGAAAATGGAAAAAGCGAACATCCTTCATCCTAGACCTTTTACCACCATCAGTGAAAGCCACTGTTAAATTCGTAAGCTTCCAAGTTCACAAAGCAAGTCTAGTAATTCATCCATGAAATATGAAAGCACATCAAGAAAGTATAAATTACTACTCCACATACTAAAGGAGCTTGAGTTATTCTTCTAAGAAATTGACTTTTTAAATGGAACCCAAAATTCAATATATATAGTATTAGAGCTCTCGAAGTTCAACCGATCAATTCCTTACGTTTAAAGCCAAAAATCGAGCAATCAAAATTTTAAAATTAATTTTTCGAAAGAGTAGTGTTTTAAAAAGAGTAAAGTCAAAATTTAAAAACTTCACAGATATTTGTGTAATAATTTATGTCATACACGTACTCATCTATTTTATTGTAATTGAAATTGAGAAGGACTTTTTCCGATTGAAAAAGTTAGTTTGGTCATGAAATTAATTTTTTCCAAATTAATCATCCAAACTTTAAGGTTTTATACACATTGATAATGAGTTATACTATATATAAAATATTGATTTACAAAGTCGGTCGACAAAATAATATCTATACCAATTATTTCAAAAACAGATTTTTAAATCATTGAAAATCAACGATTTAAATTTTGCCAACACTTATTTTGTCAATCAAATTTGTAAATATACTTTGTTCGAAATAATAGCATAATATGTTGGTAATTGAACTATAGTTTTTTTCTCCATTAGTCACCAAACTATACAATTTGAGGCACTGTTTACCAAGTTAATATCCTTATAGCTAGAAAATTGTCTAATTTGATTAGCGTCAATCCATGAAGTTTTCAAATGAGTCTTCTCTCCAATAGGGTAGTTTTAAAATGGAGGCTAATTATATGAAACAAACATAAATATCAGTGACTAGCTTAGCCTTACTAAAATCAATATGAAACTTATTAAAACATTAATTTCATTACTATTCAAAAAATTAAAAACATAAAACTTAATAAATTCTAAAATGAAGATTATTATTATTATTATTATTATTATTATTATTATTATTATTATTATTATTATTATTATTATTTGTAATTTGTAATTTATGAAAAAAAAAATATATTTAAAAACCTAAGAACTAACGTTTTACTTATAACTGTTTAATTACTTAAAATTTGAGATTTTAAATTTACTTGATAATTAAATGATTATTCAATGTTAAACTCTCAACATTTTAATATCAATGGACTTTAATATTATATATTTGGATAATTAAGAAAACAAATGCAATAAAGGTTATTCAATAATTTAAAAATAAAAATGAATAAAAGGGTTAACGGACTCACATAGTTATAGATAGAATTTTTTAGGTCCTTGTTTGATAAAGGGACTCGAGATGTAACACCCTCAAATCTAGATACCTGGATTTAGAAGTATTATCATTTCATTTCTTTAATACAGTGAACATCATTGACTTTTTTTCGAAAATAAAGTTAACATTTAATTTTATTGTTATTTTTTAATTAATTGTAAAAGTTTTCTACACGTTATGTTCATAAATAAAGTCAATATTGAAATGTATTAGTACTGAATTCATCGCACTACAAGTAGTTGTCTTGAATCATTGCCTTCATCATTTGAAATGGGGAAGGATTAAATGGAATGAACTAACGTTCAGTAAGCAAACTTCATGCATATAACATATACTTATAATGTGTATATGAATAACTTTAAAATAAAAGCATATCTCAATATGTATCACATTCATTTCATTTCTTTAAAAACTTAACATTGATTTCATGAGCTTAATTGGTTTATCGTTTAACTAATCAAAATACAGTGGGCAATTATTATTTGGAATAAGATCAAGTCAAATCGTACCACA